GTGGACGCGATCCGGCAGTGCCGGCCTGCGTGCTCGTGCTCGCACCCAAGGCGAATCCAGAATTCAAAAAGTACCGATCTCGCTACTCCCCGGACCTCTCCCGGGGTGCGTTCTGACCAGCATCTCGAGGCGAATCCACCGGTGGCGACGAGGGCCTCCCAGGAGGGCGAACAAGAGTGGAAAACGGGCGAAGGGTAGCTATGGGCACCCTTTCCTCCTGCGAGGGTTCCACCCCCTCCCTCCCCCACCCACTTCTGTGGCAACTCATGGGAGCCTCCAATACCATCTTATCCGCTCTTTGCGAATCGACGCTAAATCGACGCTAATCGACGCCACATCGACGCTAATCGACGCTGAGTCGACGCTACCTCATTGTCTCCCAGACGCCAATCGACGCCAATCGACATTCAGACAAATCTGCGAGGGTACACAAGGCTCCCATGATTTGCTACCGAACACCCACCCTCCGCTGCACGGTTTCCCCCCGGGCCGTAGGCGACCCGAGGAGGAGGAGGAGGAGGAGGAGGAGGAGGAGGAGGAGGACCAGGAGGACCAGGAGGAGGAGGAGTGAGGAGGAGGAGGAGGAGGAGGAGGAGGAGGAGGAGGAGGAGGGGGAGGAGGAGAAGAGGAGGAGGAGGAGGAGGAGGACTAGGAGAGGAGGAGGGGAGGAGGAGGAGGAGGAGGAGGAGGGAGGAGGAGGAGGAGGAGGACCAGGAGGGAGGAGGGAGGGAGGACCAGGAGGAGGAGGAGGAGGAGGAGGAGAGGAGGAGGAGGAGGAGGAGGAGGAGGAGGAGGAGGAGGAGGAGGAGGAGGAGGAGGAGGAGGAGAGGAGGAGGGAGAGAGGAAGGCGGAGAGGAGGAGGAGGACTAGGACTAGGAAGAGGAGGAGGGGGAGGAGGAGGAGGGGGAGGAGGAGGAGGAGGAGGAGAAGGAGGAGGAGAGGGAGGAGGACCAGGAGGAGAGGAGGAGGGACCAGGATGAGGAGGAGGAGGAGGGAGGAGGAGGACCAGGAGGAGGGAGGAGGAGGAGGAGGAGGAGGACCAGGAGGAGGAGGGGAGGAGGAGGAGGAGGAGGAGGAGGAGGAGGAGGAGGAGGAGGAGGAGGACGGGTTCGTGCGTGGTTTTGTGCGTGGTTTTGTCGCCAAATGATCAAAGATGGTCCTAGATGGTCCTCGCCGAAGGAAAAATGAACACGTCCGAGCGATGCCAAGCCCAAGGGCCTCCTTTGGCCTTTGGGGCCCTAGAAGGCCCCTTTTCTGCAGCCCTCGCTGCCCACCACCTTCATCGCCCCGACATGACGCGTCCTCCGAAAGCCGCGCACCGTACGCTACTCCCTCTGGCGGAGGGTCACTCCTCCGTGCAGCCAGGGAAAGCGCCCCGCCTCTGCCGGCGGGGGCGGCAGAGGCGGGGCGCGGCGTTCCGCCGCCCTTCCGCCGGCGGAGGCGGCCTCGCTGTACTTCCGCCGCCCTTCCGCCGCCCTCCGCCGTGGACGAGATGGCAACCCCTTCGATCCTCGAAGGCAAGGCCCCCTCTGGGAAGCCGCGCACCGCAAGCCGTGCACCGCTGGCTCCATCACGCGTCGTACGAAAGCCGTGTGCACCGCACGCTACTCCAGCGAGGGGTCCCTCCCGCGTGCAGCCCGGGGGAGGCGCCCGGAGCCTCTGCCCCGCAGCTCCTCGAAGACAAACCTGCGGCCCTCGGGCAGGCTGCGCGCGAACACGACGTCGCCCAGGAGAAACCTGCTATGTTGGGGGGGCGGGGGGGCAGGAGGGCGGAGGGCAGGAGGGCAGGAGGGGAGGAGGAGGAGGAGGAGGAGGAGGAGGAGGAGGAGGAGGAGGAGGAGGAGGAGGAGAAGGGGATGGAAAAGGAGGAGGAGGAGGGGATGGAGAAGCAGGAGGAGGGGGGGCAGTGTCAACCCAAGACGCATCAGCTAGATGGCAATAAACAATCATTACAAGCTCTTTTTTTCATTGATCCCTACAAGAGTGTATAGAAATGTGTGTATGGACGTGCGTGTATAACTCTATTGATCGATCGATCTATATATCCTACTAGACATGTATATAAATAAAAATATAGATGTGTGTAAATCCATAGCTCTGTATGTATACACATATGTGCACACATATGTATATATCGATGTCTAGACACCTGCATGTAATCACATCTGGATTTAACTATACATATCGCTCGATATACCTAGATATACATATATACATATATATACACACAAGACTGCATTGCCGCTTTGCGCCATGCACCTTGGTCCTGGAAGTTTGGCATGCAGGCGGAAGGGCGGGAACATCAAACAAACAATTTCGCGGTGACTCTTTGTTGCCCCTCCGGCATCGTCGCTTCCTTCCCGCATGTTTCCTCGTCCCCTTCCCCATTCTCGTCTTACCCTGCGAATTCTTCTGCGTTCTCATCAGCTCTTTCTGCGGAATCTCCCCTTTGAGAGCGTCTTGGGAGCCTCACGCCTTGTTGTAAGGGCGTCTTGGGGCCTTATAGAGGCCTCCTGGGTTCCTCTTGGGGGCCTCCAAAGCTTCCTCTGGCTACCCTGCTTCCCTCCGCAGTCTCCCTGAACGACTGGGTCACGATTTGGAATGCTTCGGGGGGCGTCTTTGGGCCATGTTTGGCCGTCATGGGGCCCCCTTCGGGCCGTCTTTGGGCCATGTTGGGCCGTCTCGAGGCTCTCTTGGACTGCCTGGAAGCCCTTCAGGGTAGTTTTGAAACAATGTTCGGGCCTCCTGGGTGGTCCGGGACGCCTGGAAGACCGAAGAACAGAGCATTCCCAAATCAAATCATACAAACACCCATCAAAAAACAACCATCAAATCATCACCAATCGCACCGAGACACCATTCCTGGGACTTCAACGCCGCGAATCGACTCGCCTGTTGCATCCTGACAACCCTAAATCGTGTAGACAATAACTCCTGGGATTTTAACACTTCGAATCAACGTGACGGCTGCACCCTGACAATCCGAATTTTAGCCAAAACACCATTGTTAGACTTCAACTATACGAATCCTGCTGGAATCTCTCAGAACGAATGTGCGCGGCGCTAAAGCGAAAACCACATGTTGAAAAGGAACCGGCCTCCATCCTTGAAGCTGCTGCAAACTTTGTGTAAAAACGAATGCGCGCGGCTGTAAAGCGAGAACAACCTTTTGAAAACCAGCCACCTCCATCCGTAAAGCTAATGCGAATGTTCGAAGCGGATGTGCGCGGCGCTACGGCGAGAGTCACATTTTGAAAACCAGCCGCCCTCAATCGCCAAAGCTGCTGCAGACTTGCAGAACTTATGTGCGCGGCGCTGAGGCGAGAGCCAGATCTTAAAAATCAGCCGCCCGTCAACCTTGAAATTGCACACCTCAAACTTCGTGATCATAAATGGTGAGGAAAACTCAAACGAACGCCCGGCCGGCCCTATCGACACGTTGGGGCGTGCGACAATGAATAATTATCTACTAAGAATAGGGATGGAGGAAAAGGGGAAAGAGGGGGGGCAAAGGGGGAGGAGGAGGAGGAGGAGGAGGAGGAGGGAGAGTAGGATGGGGGGCAAACGGCGTGCGTTCACGTCATACCTGACGTCACACCCCTCTCCCCCATCCCTACCATTGCGTAGAGCCCCTCTATTAACACAGTAGAATGTTGAAGCTGACAACGATCGCCAAAAGGTACGCGGTGCATAGCATGGCATGGCATTGCGTAGTCAAGGATCGCATATGATAGCATTTCAGCGAAATTCATGGCATCGCGTAGCGGTACGCATAGCATTGCAAGGTATGCCATTTCATGGCATGGCACTGCGCAGCCCAGCGATGCATACCACAGCATTCCAGAGCAAGGCATGGACTCGCTTCAAAGCGTTCCATGAAGTAGCATTGAATTGCGCACCATGGCTGCATGAATGGTGCAGCTGGAAAGCCCAAGTGGAGGAATGACAATTTGGAGATGAGACCGCTGCAACAGCGGGAGCACAATTCGGAAGGACCGAACAGGCGGGTGGACATGAGGGAAGGACCGAAGACACGGATCTGAGATCAGCGCTGCAGCGGGAGCACGTCGGAAAGGTCGAAAACGAGGAAATGAGACCAACGCTGCAGCAGGAACACCATCCGGAAGGACCGAAACATCGGAATTGATGCCAACGCTGTAGCGGGAGCACCGTCTTGAATGACAGAAAGCGATTGGATAGGGCAACACGTAAGGAAGACAAACTGTTGCAACTCTGTTTTGCACAACATCGCGCGGAGAAGCTGGGACATCCCCCGAACAGAGTCAGCGGAGAGAGAAGAGTAATTCTCAGAACGTGTAACTATATAATCAGGAGGATGATGAGGAGGGCGAAGGATGAGGAGGAGGAGGGAGGAGGGGGCGGAGGAAGGGGAAGGAGAAGAAGAGGGGAGGAAGAGGAGAAGGAGGAGGAGGAGAAGGAGGAGAAAGAGGAGAAGGAGAAGGAGGAGGAGGAGGAACAGGAGGAGGAGGAGGAGAAAGAGGAGGAGAAGGAGGAGGGGGAGGAGGAGGCGGAGGGGGAGGACGAGGAGGAGGAGGCGGAGGGGGAAGAGGGAAAATATTGCTGTTGTCCCTTCACCCTCTACCGGAAATCCTGCTGACCAGGGAGGTGTCCAGACCAGTATGTGCAGTGAAATGTCACTGTTACTGTCAACGGTCAGGGGCGGCAGCACCGAGAGGCCGAGACGATTCGGCCTTCCATCTCTCCTGCAGTGGGCAGGGGCGCTCAAAGACATGTGAACTCCCTGGGAGGGGGCGGAGTGGCACGAACCTTTGGATCAGCACCGTCTCCCCCGAACGAGCAGCCCTCCGCTGCTGCACCGTGGCCGCCTGCATCGAAGCACGCTGATCTGGGATGGGGGCGCTCGTTCCTCACCCGCAACGGACAGCTCCCGTCCCGCGGACCGCCCAAATCAAAGCACTGATTCCAGCCCGAGTCAAATCAAATCAATGACCGCACACATCAAAGCAGCGATGCCAGATCGGCACCTGGACAGACAGACGTCCGAGACTGGCCTCCCCGAACGACCAGGGGGGGCGGATGAGAAACGGAAAAAAAGGGGACCCGGGGCCACGGCTGGGTTCGCTTGCAGCCCGCGCGAAGCCCACAGGGGTGTGCAGGGAGGAGCGCCTCCCAGTGCACACCGCGAGAGAAAGCGAAATTCAGCGGGAGAAGTCGGAGCGGCACAAACGCAGGGCTCAGCGCCGCTTTCCCGAGTGTCGAAAGGCGCACAGAAACATATATATATATATATATATATATATATACACACATATATATACATATATATATATATATAACGAACCCAAGGCTGGAGTCGCTGAGGCCCAACAGAGGCAGGTTCGTCAGAACTTGACTCCAGGCCCTGGGGTTGAGCCTTCGAGTTCTCTTCGAGTCCCAGGGAATCGGCCACACGCTTGAGCTGAGAGACCTGTGGAAATGAAACTGCCGCAGCTTCAACTTTCAACTCTACGTTATCTAGACTTTCAACTTTCAACTCTACTCAACTCGGCTTCTGATGTGAATGTCCCTGGCCACTGCTGCACGACCTGCCCTCCCAAGGGCAGAAAGCCCCATCCTCCTCTCCTCCTCCTCCTCCTCCTCCTCCTCCGCCTCCTCCTCTTCCTACTCCTCTTCCTCCTCCTCCCCCTCCTCCTCCCTCCCCCTCCTCCTCCTCTTTCCTCCTCCCTCCTCCTCCCTCCTCCTTCTCCTCATCCTCCTCCTCCTCCTCCTTCTCCTCCTACGTACTCCTCCTCCTCCCCTTGCTCTTCCTCCTCCTCCTCCTCCTCCTCCTTCTCCTCCTCCCGTCCTCCTCTCCTCCGCTTCCTCCCCTCTTTCTCATCCTCTTCCTCCACCTCATTCCTCCTCTTCCTCCTCCTACTCCTCCTCCTCCTCCTCCTCCTCCTCCTTATCCTCCTCCTCCTCGGCCCCCTCTTCATCATCTTCTTCCTCCTCTTAGTATTATTCGTCTTCGTATTATTACGATTATTGTTCGCACCAGTATTCCTAGTACTATTCGTCGTAATCCTGTTACTACTCCTACTATTATTAGTATGAGTATCGTGTTGGTTGTATTACTGTTAGTAGTACAGTGATTCTGAATAGCGTTCTTAGCATGTTTCATGTTACTAGTGTTTCTAACGTTAATAATATTCGTATTATCCGTGTTAGTATTGTTCCTCATCCTCCTCCTCTTCCTCCTCCTCCTCCTCATCCTCCTCCTCATCCTCATCTTCCTCCTCCTCCTCCTCCTCTTCATCCTCCTCCTCCTCTTGCTCCTCCTCGTCCTCCTCCTGCTCCTGATGTAGCTCCTGCTCATCCTGCTTCTGCTGTTGATGATGCTGTTCCTGCTGCTGCTGCTGCGACTCCTCCTCCTCCCCCTCCTCAACAGCAATAGCATCGACATCAGTACGGGCATCATCCTCATCATTATCAGCAGCATCATCACCACCTTCAGCATCGAATCATCAGCACCAGCAGCATCAGCAGCATCAACATCGTCATCGTCGTCAGCAGCATCATCAGCAGCATCATCGTCATCCTCAGCATCAGCACCAGCATCATCAACCTCCGCATCATCCTCAGCATCCGCATCAGCATCAACATCAACAACAACCTCGTCGTCAACCACATCATCATCATCATCATCATCATCATCATCATCATCATCATCATCATCATCATCATCATCATCATCATCATCATCATCATCACCGTAACCAACAGCAACAGCGTCCTCATCATCATCCGCATCATCATAAGTATCGCCATCCGCATTATCATCAGCAGCAGCAGCATCATCCTTATCATCAGCATCATCATCAGCAGCATAATCCTCCTCATCATCCCCCTCAGCACCATCATTGCCGTTCTGGCCCAGGGGATGCTGGGCTTGCGGGAGCAGACTTCAGAACGGCAGTCGCTCTCGTGGGTCTTTGGGCTTGGCACCATTCAATTTGGGGGGGTCTCAACCCTCCTGTGTTCTGCACTCAGGCCGAGGCACCGTATTCCCTTACCGCACGCACTGTCAGTGTTCATGGCCCATGGCGGAGCTGGTGCTGGAGACGTTCTCCCAGGACCGAGGTCTCCGACGTGGGCGTGCTCGACCTGCGGACGGGATGCAAACTGGGCGTCCAGGATCGTGTGCAAGTGCGGCTGCAATGGGGCCGTCGAGTGCGTTGCAGCGTGCTAAGGCTCTGGCTACTACTGCGTCAAGCCCAAGGCTCCTGCCCCGCGAGGCGCAGGGGCAGGCACCAATGACAAGAGGCAGCAGAAACTCTATGCGATGGAGAAGCGGCTGGCACAGCTACTTGGCAGCGGTGGTAGCGCGGGCTCGAGCAGTGGTTCCAACAGCAGTGAGTGGCTCCACACCGACATCTTCACCCAACAGCAGCCCTGAGCAGGCCAAGCAGCTGGAGATCTAAGGGGCGATCAAGCAGCTCGAGATGGCGGTGGCCCAGTGCAACAAGCTTCCTGGCGATTGTGGCAAGGTCGCTCGCGAAGCGCTCGAGATCCAGTTGGCAGAGGTCAAGAAGTCCTGGGCCGACACCAAGCCACGTCCCAAGCAGCACACTAATGTGGGACACAAGCTCGCCCGCACTGAGCTCAAGCGCGCCAAGCTCGATCAGGAGATGTGTGACGAGACTGAGCGCATGCGCGTGGCTCAGGAGCGCGTGGCTCAGGAGCGCGTGGACAACCTGCGCGCACAGGCGGTGGCATGCGATGCTGGGATTGTGGAGTTGCGCAAGGAGCTGGTGGCTGCGCTTCCCGAGACTGCCCCAGCACCAGCCTGCCTCAGGATCGACGAAGCTTTCCTGGAGCAACACCGGCCGCGGGTCGCCGTCAAGCCCTTCACGGAGACAGACGTCTTCAAGACCTTCGCGGAGGTCCTCGGCGAAAGCGCCAAGGGCAAGCAGGCCCGGATGCCCGTCGTTGCACCGCCCCCTTTTTCGGGGTTGTGCGCGGCCGCGTCGGATTCTGATGGCCTCCCTGCTCCTCGCACTCCTCAACCTCGTAGTGCAGAAGATACACGTGCGGGCGAGCCCGATGACATGGACCTTGACGAGCTTGACGGCACTGTCACTGAAGATATTATCGAGGCGGTCAAGGGCGGAGCCGACAAGGCTTCCTTCTCCTCACGATTCGGCTCGGGCCTACGTTGGGTCAAAGCGAAGACGGAGTAGCACCTCGGACGTGGGTGAGACCATGCCGCTTTGCTGTGGTTGAAAGTTGTCTAAATTCGGAGTGCATGCGCCACCCCCGCCTCCTCCTGTCTCGTCCTCCCTCGATGACCTTGGCGTGGACACCTGTGCTGAGACCTACAGGGGCAACGGTTGGCCGACCCTGAGAACGACTCAGCTCGACCACGGCTTTGATCTCACTAGCGCAGGAGACTGGCACCCCCGAGGGCCGCACGGGCGAAAGAACTGCCCCTGCTGCTGCCCTGGGGTTGAAATGGCTGCGCGCCCCCTCCTGGCCTGGCGAGGCGGGCCAAACTGGGGCGGGGATGGGAGTGTTCGTCTGCTCCCACGTGGGCCCCAAAAAGGCCCGAGGCTAACATTGGCGTGCTGGCCCCTGGCCGACTGATCCACGCCATCGTGGACATCCCCTCCCCCCTCCCGGCCCGCCTCGCATGTTGCGCCGGGCTACCTCCAGTCGGGTGCTGGGCTATGTCAGCTCAACTTGTCCCTCCTCGAACTTGTGGGGGAACGCCTCGATGGGAAAACGCATGTTCTTTGCGGGGTGTGACTGGAACCTCGACCCCAGCATCGTTGAGTCCACGGGCATGGCCCGCAGGATCGAGGGGGCGTTTCTGTACCCGCCCAGAAGGCCTGTATCTCGGCTGGCAATCTTAGCACGATTGGTTTTTGTTTTCCTGGTGAGCACTTGTTTCGCGGGAGTCTGTAGCTATGTTGAAGCGGATCTGAGTTGGACCCACAGCCCCCGCCGACCCGTCACCTCGAGGCTCCGTCCCGATGCTGTGAGGTGCCATCAGCTGACGTATCGGTCGCATCAGAAGTTACCGACGACGCTCCCTTTCGACCCACTCCCGAACCTTCGGCTTGGACGCTTTGCCGTAGTATTGCCGAGGAGGCCGCTGTGTCAGCCTCTTCTCGCCCTGTTGGTGAGGCTTGGGCTCTGCTCACGATGGCCTGGCGAAATCCCACCAGCCCTTTGGGCGTGAGTGGTTTAGCGAGCTCTCTCTGTTCTCAACCCCCCTTCTTCCCCTTCGGGGAGGGGTGTACCCCTCCCCCTCCCCCCTCCCCCTGGACCTGGAGAGGGGGTTTCGCGGGTGGTCAGAGGGTCCTTTTTCTATTCCTGGGAGGGCTGAAATTCGACACCCCTCACGAGGATCGTGGCCCCGACGGGGGTACTGACAAAAATGCTCCCCCCATCTGTGATCGATCGCCCCAAAGATGGCCCCAACAGGCCCCCAAGACGCTCCAAGAGGCGCCCAAGAGGGCCCCCGGACGCTCCCAAGAGGCTCAAAAGAAAGCCCAAGAGGCCCCTCTACGATCTCCAAGAGGCCTCCAAACTGCCTTGGATACGACTACTTGTACTACTACTACTACTACTACTACTACTACTACTACTACTACTACTACTACTACTACTACTACTACTACTACTACTACTACTACTACTACTACTACTACTACTACTACTACTACTACTACTACTACTACTACTACTACTACTACTACTACTACTACTACTACTACTACTACTACTACTACTACTACTACTACTACTACTACTACTACTACTACTACTACTACTACTACTACTACTACTACTACTACTACTACTACTACTACTACTACTACTACTACTACTACTACTACTGACTACTACTACTACTACTACTACTACTACTACTACTACTACTACTACTACTACTACTACTACTACTACTACTACTACTACTACTACTACTACTACTACGACTACGACTACGACTACGACTACGACTACGACTACGCCTACGACTACTACTGCTACTACTACTACTACTACTACTACTACTACTACTACTACTACTACTGCTACCACTATTACTACTACTACTACTACTACTGCTACTACTACTACTACTACTCTACTACTACTACTACTACTACTACTACTACTACTACTACTACTACTACTACTACTACTACTACTACTACTACTACTACTACTACTACTACTACTACTACTACTACTACTACTACTACTACTACTACTACTACTACTACTCCTACTACGAGGGGCCCGAACGACTTGCACCAGGACGAGGTGCCCGAACGCCTCACGCCACGAGGAGCCCGAACGACTCACACCAGGACGAGGGGCCCGAACGACTCACACCACGAAGAGCCCGAACGACTCACACCAGAAGGAGGGGCCCGAACGACTCACACCAGGACGAGGCGCCCGAACGACTCACACCACGAGGAGCCCGAACGACTCACACCACGACGAGGGCCCCGAACGACTCACACCACGAGGAGCCCGAACGAGTCACACCAGGAGGAGGGGCCCGAACGACTCACACCAGGACGAGGGGCCCGAACAACTCACACCACGAGAAGCCCGAACGACTCACACCAGGACGAAGAGCCCGAACGACTCACACCACGAAGAGCCCGAACGACTCACACCAGGAAGAAGGGCCCGAACGACTCACACCAGGACAAGAAACCCCAAACGACTCAAACCACGAGGAGCGCTTTCTCTCCCTCCTCCTCCGCCTCGTCCTTCTCCCGCTCCCACCACAAGGAGGATGTACAAGGAGGCGGGAGGAAGGAGGAACAGGGGAGATATGCGGGGGCAGGCGGAAACACGCCTGAAAAACACGACTGTCGGCATGCTTCGCAAGAGTTGCTGTTTTGAGATGGGCTGGTGGGGATACGCGAAGCGTAAAGAATATCTCTAACACGTTGGAGCGTGAGCTTGAGTATTTCACTGGGGAGCTGGTGAAAAGTAAAGGCCACAAGGGTGATTTCCTCAGGCCCAGATGGATCCCGATCTTTGCTAAACCCAAACGTCTCAACGAACGGGATATGCATGGCGGTTGGATTTGGCTGGCTTAGCAAGTGTCTGAAACTATCGGGGCCTCCATGAGGCTGCAGCGCGTTTTTGAGGACCCTGGGAACACCGATCAAAGCATTGCTCAGAAGTTTACTCAGGATGCCCAGCTTCAGATCCGGCAGCTGCTCACATTACCGTGCCCTGGTGAAGGGCAGGGTGCCCGACTTGATGCCACTCTAGGTCAGGTACGGCGACTGCTTCAACGTCTCCCTGTCGATGCCGACCTCGAGAGTTGGATCGAGGACTGCCAGGAGTTCCTGCCGTCTTGGGACGACGACATCAGCGAGGCGCGCAAGGCCATCCTCAGGGCCCAGCAGGATAGTTGGGGATGAATGGCAGGAGAAGGCTCTTGACGGCGGGGCTAGGGCGATGCATAGACTCACCAAGCTCAAGCGAAAATGGACCCCCACGGCTGTTCAGACGCACCCTGGACTTGTTTTACCAACGACCCGCGCGAGCTCCTGAAAGCCGAGGGTGATGTTCTCGCTTCTCTCTGGCACGCCACACATGTGCCACCCGAAGCTTGCGCGCCCGATCGAAGGCATTTGCCGGGGCCGTTTGCTGCCGAGATTCGCAGTGCGTCGGCCTCTTTCTCCCGCCTCACATCCCGGAGTCTTGCTGGGCTGCACCCCAAACAGCTTCCCCTTGTCCCTGATGCTGTCCTCGACACGTTTGGCGCGTTGGCTCAGGCCATCGAGTCCTTGGGGCTCCTCCCGAAACAGTTGCTCTGGCGTTTCCCTTTGGTGGAAAAATTGAAGGGCTGCCTCCGACCCATCCTTCTGCGAGCTGGTCCCGGTCGAGTTTGCGAAAGACTTCGCAGGCCTATGCTCCTCGATGTTGACACGTGCTTCCCTCGTGAGCGCTGGGCGTTCGGCCCTGGGCGCAGTACTGAGGATGCTGTGTGGCGCCGAGCTGCCAGGGCCGAGGTGGCCCAGCATGACGATGAGGAGACGGGGAGCATCACTTGGGATGGAACCAAGTATTACGAATCCGTCGACCTTGCTTGGCTTAAGGGTAGAGCTCTGAGACATGGCCTTAACAGTACCATCCTGGAGGGGGTCCCGCTTGTTGCGCCTTGGGGTCCAGTCTGGGCCGCTCCCGTTCTTCGTTTCGTCGGGCCTCGCTGCGGGCAATAGTTCCAACGATATCGTGGTGCGTGTTTACAGTATCGAGAACGTCGATTATTTTGTGCTGACATCCCCAAAGTTGATCTGTCCATTTATGCCGATGACGATAGTGTCACCACTTGTAGTGGTGAATGTCAGGTCCTGGCCAATATTACCCAGGCCGCTGCTAGCCTCGTTCGGGATGGGCTGAATTTTGGCATCCACCCTGACGAGGTCAGCACGTCGGCCAGCAGCTACGCTCTTGCCCAGAATATTGTCAAGCTGGTGGGACGGCCCGCTGGCCATGTGACCGATAATGTTGCGTCCCTGGGACCTGGCCTTGCGCCCGGCCAGAGACGCGATACCAAGAAGGGGCGTTGAAAGAGAAAACAGCGTCTTCACCAGATGAAGAAACGACATCGGGCTTTTACGTAGGATGCGTCACTGCTTGCCCTGCAAAAAGGACGCATCGGCAAGATTTGCATCACTGGAGTTTTGCCAGCTACCAGTTTCGGGCCCGCGGTTGCGGGGATGAATGACCACGAGCTTCTTGAGGCTCGCAGAGTGTTCCTGTCTTACCAACCGCTCAGGCACGGAGGCTGCTCGATGCAAGCTCGTCTTGCCATCCTCGGGGACCCCATGTGGAGACCTGCCGTGGCGCCTGCCCTGCACTGGGCCTCCATTGTGCGGCTCGCTCTCACCTCCCCAGGTATTTCTCTGTACACCGTCCAGCAGCTGTGCCAGATGTGGAGCGCCGTCTCGTGCGACCACTACGCTTCTTGGCGCAATTCGAGAGGGCCCCTGCAGAGGATGCATCTCTTCTTGCGCCGTGCGGGTTGGAAATGCATGTCTCCCCTCAGCTTCCTGGGTGCTTACGGTAGAGAAGTTCACCTCGGGTATAGTTCCCCCTCCACGGTTGGACACATGCTCCAGTTAGCCACGCAGCTTCAACATAAGCGTAACCTGTATGAAAGTACCCCCCAAGCTTCGGGGCTCAGGTTTTGTTTGGACCCGCTCAGGCGCCTCTTAAGGCCCAAAGGTAAAGGCCTCACGGCTACTCCGAGTTTCTTAATAAGCGTCGGGGGGCCGGCGTCGCCCCCGCCGACAGCCCCACATCGACCCCTGTCGCGGGCAGCCACCGCGCGCCGCAGGCGCTCCGACCCCCGTCGCGGCGCGACGAGAGACGAGGTTGACCCCCGTCGGGGGGATACCCCCCACGCTCATTAAGAAACCCCGAGTAGGGAGAAGTACGTGGTTCTCTCGGTTTTCTGCAAAGGTGTTTAGACTCGATCTAGGGACAAGGCTGACGGTTACGATGCTGACGGACTGTGTCCCCTTTGCAGGCTACAAGACGGTGTGTGACACAGAGGTTGGCAGTGCTTGCGCCCACTGGCCGTTCAGGCCCGCAAGAGCGTTACGGATCATGCTCCTCCCGAATGGCTCGCGGAGGCGCTCAGCTATGTTGATCACCTGTTTGTTGACGAGCTCCAATGTGAGCATCCTGAAGCGTGGCACCCTCCTCCCGCCTCATTCCCTCAACCGATGTTGTACCACTCCAATAGGGCTCAGGTTGGGTGGCGGTCTCTTGGCCTTTCGGGGTGCGATGTCGCCATGGACGGATCCGCCCATCGGCATCCTGTGCGTGAGCTGTCCGGGGCTGCCTACTATCTAGTTGTTCCTGGGGAAGGGGATCGTATCAAAGGTTATGCTAAAGGTATGGCCCTTGACATCCACCGCCAGACCTCCCAGGCCGCCGAGCATGTGTGTATGGCCATGCTTCCTATGTTCCGGGAGCGAGGAGGCACGCGTTATCCGGACGGCATGAACATGGCTCGACTGTGCAACCAGCCTCGCTATTACCAGGTCTCTCGCAAACGTCGGTACGCTGAACTCCGTCGTGGAGCGAGCGCTGCTGCGCGAACACGAACCGATACCTGATATGCACCACAGCACCACAGCAAGGCTCACCGCGATCGAGCGGAATTGGACTCTCCCCCGCTGCACGAGCGTCGTATCGGTGTGGGTAACTGGATCGCGGATGTATATGCCAAGCAGTCTCTCCTCATCCATCCTCAACCCCCCATGCACGAGCGCGAGGAAGTGGACAGGCCTTGCAAAAGCTTGCGTGTTGCTGCCAAAGTGTTAGGCAAGACTTTCGCTGTGTTTCCCATTGAGAAGTTTGTCGCCCGCCCAAGGGTCCGAAGGCCAGGTTTGTGGACTCGGGGGGATGGCACGCTTGAGACGAGATTGGCCAAGGACGTGCACGGTGCCCCCGTTGTTTCCTGGATTCCTCGGAAGCTCGGGGTCGACCCATGTTGGGATGTAAACGTCTCAGTAAGATGTGGCGTGGTGTGCTTGATCTCACCAAGGGGCACCAGCTGGTCCACAGAGTTGCCCAGAGGGGAGATACGTAATTAACGATGTTTTTCTGCGTTGTGTGTGGCGCGCACACTGCGCAACGGTGCCACCTTCTGAGCAAGGATTGCTCGCAACGTAAATTGTCGGGCGCGCCTACTATTTTGCCCCGAATTGATTTGGGCCTGTACCCTCACTACCGTGATCAATCCACAGTCAGTGTATGTGCGCGTCGTGGTGTGTCTGTCTTGCGCAAGGCCGCTTCATTGCCGCCACCGCAGGATGTCAGTTTGGTGCAGCCGCCACCGTTCCCAGGGCGTTATCGAAACCCGTGGGATGCTGGCCTCGCAGGCGCGCATTCAGGCCCGCGAGGCGGCGCGCATCGCCGCCTCGCGTTCTTCCACCCAAGGTGGCGTTTCGACTGTATGTTCGTTATTGCCCTCCCATGTGATCGCTGATAAACTCCTCGTCACCATCTTCATCATCACCACCATCATCATCATCATCATCATCATCATCATCATCATCATCATCATCATCATCATGATCTGCATCATCAGCATCATCATCGTCATCGTCATCGTCATCGTCATCGTCATCAGCATCATCAGCATCATCATCATCCTCATCCTCCTCATCATCATCAGCATCATCATTATCACCATCACCATCATATTCAGCATCATCATCGTCATAATCAGCATATTCAGCATAATCATCATCCTCGTCATCATCATCATCGGCAGCAGCATCACTACCAGAATCGTCAGCGACCTCAGCATCATAATCATCATCAGCAGCATCATCGTCAGCATCACCATACTCATCACCATCATCATCATCATCACCACCACCACCACCACCACCATCATCATCATCATCATCATCATCCTCGTCATCATCATCATCATCATCATCATCATCATCATCATCATCATCAGTATCAGCATCATCATGCTCATGCTCCATCCTTCTCCTCCTCCTCCTCCTCCCCTCTTCCACCTCCTCCCCCTCCTCCTGCTCATCCTCCTCTTTGTCCTCCTCCTCCTCCTCCCCCTCTTCTTTCCCCCTCCTCCCTCATTTTCCTTCCCCCCCTCCTCCTCTCAGCCAGGTGGTCTCCCGACCAGACGAGCCCCCCTTTCCCACCACGATAAATCGAGACTGACCTAGCAGTGGTGTGGGAAGCCGAGCAGCAGCGAGGCGAGAGACAAGGGGGACAGAGGGGAGGATAGCGGTCCTGTAGGTGCCTTGGGGGCGCGCCATAGCCCTGATGAGTCCGGTGGGACACATGGGCTCTCCCATTCTTGGATTGGCGGCGAGCGAAGGGGGAAATGAGAAGGAGAAGACCTTCTCAGAAGGCGGCGGGACTTCTCCGGCCTTCTGAGAAGTTGTCTGCGTCTTCGGGAGAAGCAGAGAAAAAACTGCTAGAAAGGCTGGGGCCTTCCGAGCCTTTTGAGAAGGCCTTCGCCTTCTCATTTCCCCCCCCCTCGCCCGCCACCGATTGAAGGCGGTGATCGTGAGGGCGCGGAAGGTAAACCTCAAGCCTTCTGACCCCGGGGCCTTTGGCAAGGCCCATTGCTGGCGCATGGTCTTGGTTCACGGCGCTGGTGGGCCCATAAGGCGGGCCAGAGGCAGCAAGGCAGCCCGATCCGGAGGGGAGGCGAGGAGAAGCAGATTGGTCCTGCAGAGCGCCCACGGGGCTGGCTGAACAGGAGGGCGTGCGATTGGCTGGATGGAGGAAGGGGAGGGGGGAGGTGGAAGGAGGAGAAGGGAAAGAATACGGGGGGGGCCCAGGGGGATAGAAGGGGCCGCGACCGAGACGGCGTGATCCAGGGAGGGGCATGGCGCATCGGCGGCGGCGGCCGTTTCGAAGAGCCCCCGGGGGCACTCGAACGCGCGGTCGCACCCCGTCCTGGCCTTGACGCACTTCAGCGCGGGCCACAACCCGTCGCGGTTGCGCAGTGCCTTGGCGCACTCCCGGGGGGGGGGGGCACCCGCGCGCCGTGAACTTTGCGAGAGAGGCTTCGCGATGGAGCCCCGACTCGGGCCCAAGGCTTTCGCGGATCGATCCAGGCCCGGAGAGCTCCAGCAGGGAGGAGTGCATTTTCTCGTTCGCGGCCATAATGGGCTTTATTGGGGGGGAGGGGGCGAGGGATGGACGGGAGGGGGCATAACGTAGCGCCCCCCCCAACCCCCAGACTGTGGTGCCGGACGCACTGCGGCAGGGCCGGGGACGCACTGAGGGGGGGACCGTCACGTCATGGGGGTGGGAGGGAGGGGGGGGAGGGTACGGGGCATAACGCGCTATGGCCCAGAAGAGAGTAAACACAAAAAACACTCTCGAGACAGGGTCGGGAGCTCCAACCGCAGCCCTCGCCCACGACGCCGCGACTCTTCCCAGCGCCGGCCGCGAGCGAAGGCGACGAAGACAGGGAGGGCCAGGCGTTCACCGGCACCGCCGACACTGCGACACGTCGCATTCTGGGGGGGGGCACGCAGAGAGACATGCTAATCAGAATGATGGGGGCTGAACCGAACGGTCATTCACTGTCCCTGGGTGCGTGGCTGAAGTGGAATTCTGCGATGCGGATTCTTGTTGTTGTTTTTTGTTTGGTGATTGCTGTTTGTTGTTTGTTGTTGTCGTAGTACCACTCGCGACCCGCCCCGCGACCCACCCGCGACCCACCCCGCGACCCACCCGCGACCCACCCGCGACCCACCCGCGACCCACCCCGAGACCCCCCCAGCGACCCACCCGCGACCCACCGGCGACCCACCCCGCGACCCGCCCGCGACCCACCCTGAGACCCCCCCAGCGACCCACCCGCGACCCACCGGCGACCCACCTGCGACCACCCACGACCCACCCCGCGACCCACCCACGACCCACCCGCGACCCACCCGCGACCCACCGCGACCCACCCCGCGACCCCCCCGCGACCCACCCCGCGACCCACCCAAAATGTTCGGCGCCTGCGGCGGGTTTCTTTTGCATCCGTTCCAGGAGAAGAACTTGCGACCCACCCGCGACCCAAACCGCGCCCGCGACCCACCCGGGACCCACCCCGCGACCGACGCAAAATTTTCGGCGCCTGCGGCGGGCTGTTTTTGAATTCCTCCCAGGTGGAGGTGGAGAGCCCGCGACCCACCCGCGACCCAAACTACGTTCACTGAACAAGCCAAAACTTCGGCGCCTGCGGCGGGTTTCTTTTGCAGTCGGTCCAGGTGGAGAACCTGCGACCCAAACCGCGTTCAGTTCACAAATCAAAACTTCCGGCGCCTGCGGCGGGCTGTTTTTGAATTCCTTCCAGGTGGAGGTGGAGAGCCCGCGACCCAAACTACGTTCACTGAACCAACGAAAAATTCGGCGCCTGCGTCGGGCTGTTTTTGCATTCGTTCTGGGAGGCCCACCAGCGACCCCCCCCCCGCGCTGAACTTGTCAGAGCACGCAAATCGGCACCTGCGGCGGGCTTGCTCGCATTGGTTTGGGAAAGCGCCCTCGTGCCATTCCCCCGATCCGGCCCACGTTGACTCTACAACAGCACATCGGCGCCTGCGGCGGGGCTGTGTATGAACACGTTCATTGACAATCCAGCTGCCTGCTGCAATTCGGCATCCGTGCCCAAATCCTGGGTTCAGGGGAAGCTGCCTCAGGGCGCCCACAATTAAGGGGCCTCGGGGCGCTCAAGGACCCTCCTGAGGGGGGCGCCATCGACAGGGAAGGTGAGGGCCACGAGGTCCGCCGGCTCGACGCCCGCGTCGCCCGCGCCCGCCCCCTCACTCTTATCCGCACCTGCGGAGTGCCACGCACTACGCGTGTGCTCCTCGGAGGCGCCCGCCCGACCCGAACCTGCCGCCTAGCCATCCTGCAGCGCATCGTTTCCCTGGCGGCGTGGCCCAAAAGAAGCGCCCGCCACGACGCTCGCAGCAGAAGATTTCCCGGTGCGCGCGCGTCGCCCCCCCTGGTGGGGGCGACACACACCTTGCATCGGTGTGTCGGGGTGACGCCGAGGGTGTGGTCCACGCTGCTGTTACTTCCGCTGGGGGTCGGGCTGGCGTGGCGTGGTGCGTGGTGACCCACTTCCGCCGCCTTCCGCCAGCCTTCTCCGCGGGCAGAACCGCCGCCGTTCTGCTGGCGCCGGCGGCCCCGCCAGCCGTTCGCCGCCCTGGCCGCCGAGGAGAGGAGGCAGCTCCTCGACTCCTGGAAGGCGAGGCCCATCTTCTGGAGCCGGCTGCCTCCGCCACCGCGCCCCTGCTCAGGCTCTCGGGGGGGAGTGGCCTCGGGCCCACTCGAGCTCTCTACGTTGAGTACTGCTGCAAGTGCTCTTCAAAGGGGCCCAGAGGCCAGATTGCCCTCGACGGGGCGCGCGAGGTGTTCCGCATGCATGACTTTCCCAGCGGCCGACGGCGTCAAGGCGGCCGAGTTCCAGGAGGCCCCCAAGGCGGTCCAAGAGGGCCCCGAGTCGGCTTCAAGAGGGCCGGAAGACGACCCAGGATGCCCCAACAGAGCCTAAGAGGTCCCAAGGGCGCCCCAGGGGAGCGCCCCAAAAAGAGTCCCACGAAGGCATCGAGAGGCCGAAATCATTGATTTCAGACTGGTTCTTGAATGATATCGGGGTGCTCCCGATTTCGAGTTCCAGAGCCCCCAAGACGGCCCAAAAGGCTCCCAAGAGAGCAACAGCCCAAGAGGCCCCTCAAGGCGTCTCAACAGGGCCCAAAAGAGCCACAAGATGAGCCAAAGTGGTGATGCCTCAAAGGGCCCGCCCCCAGTTGGCCCTAATAGGCCCCCAGGACGCCCCAAAGAAGTCATAAGAGGCCCCCAAAAGGCACCCAGAAAGACCCAGGCGCGAACCCCAAAGGACCTTCCTCCGCCCCCAGGACGCTCATGATGGTCCCAAAGGTGGCCAAACATGCTCCAAGACGGCCTCCAAGACCGCCCAAGACGTCTCGACGACGGCAAAGATGACCGTCAAGCCGGGCAAGACGACTCTGAGACGGCCCACGATGACCTCAAGGCGGCCTCAGACCGCCTGAAAACAGTCCAAGAGGCCTCCAAGAGGCCCTCCAGGCGGGTCCGACGAGGCTAGGATCATCGACGCCCCTCAAATGTTTGAGCGAGTTTCGCGTTCTCGTCTCCTCGGGCTTCCGACAACCGAAAACGGACCCGATTCGTCCAAGGTAGCCCCAAGACGGCCCCAGAAGGCCCCCACCCCAAGATGGCCCCAAGACGGCCCAAGAAGTCCCCAAGACGGCCCTAAAGGAGCTCCAGGGCGGACCTGGAGACATCCGAGACGGCCTTTGAGCGCCCCAAGAGGGACCCAAGACGGTCCACTAAGGCCCCCAGACGGCGTCCGAAAGCCAAGAAGCTCATCAGAGGCTCTCACAGGCCCCCAAGAGGCCCCCAAGAGGCCCCAAAGGCCCCCAAGAGCCCTCTGAGGCCCCCAAGCGCCCCCCCCCTAGAGGTGTCCAAGAGAACCCCAAGAGACCTCCTCCTCCTCCTCCGCCTCCTCCTCCTCCTCCGCCTCCTCCGCCTCCTCCTCCTCCTCCTCCTCCTCTTCCTCCTCCTCCTCCTCCTCCTCCTCCTCTTCATATTATTATTCTTCTTATTATTATTCTTATTATTATTATTATTATTCTTATTATTCTTCTTCGTCTTCTTCTTCTTATTCTTATGATTATTATTCTTCTTATTCTTCTTATTATTATTCTTCTTATTCTTCTTCTTATTCTTCTTTTTTTCTTCTTCTTCTTCTTCTTCTTCTTATTCTTCTTATTCTTCTTCTTCGTCTTCTTCTTCGTCCTCCTCCTCCTCCTCCTCCTCCTCCTCCTCCTCCTCCTCCTCCTCCTCCTCCTCCTCCTCCTCCTCCTCCTCCTCCTCCCCTCCGGAGGCGCAGGAGGAGGCAGCAGGGGCGCCGATGCACCATCTTCGGCAGAGGGCAGCACCACCCATGGCCCCACGCAGGGCCGCAGAGCCAGTCCTGCCAGCAGGCCTGGGCCGGGCGAGGCGGTGAGTATCGTTTAACCGATCCCCAGCCCCAGCGGCGTGGCCTGGGCCCCACTGGCCGATTTACCCCCCTGGATGGGGATGCAGGTCGCTCCCTTCGGGTCTCGAGGGGTGCATCCCCCACTGGGGTGGTGATTTGGTGGGGGTCTCGAGGGGGACGGAGATGGGGATGGGGATGGGGAGTGGTTTAACGATACCGAGGGGGGGGGGGCGGGCACGAGGAGGTCTTCAAGAGCCCCCGGGTGGGGTTCACTTCGCTCGAGAGCTCCCGAGCCAAGTGAATCCCCCCCTCCCCCTCAGAAATCGTGGGGGGGAGGGGTAGGGTTCGCATGTGGCGCCGAGGTGCCGGAGACGGGCCCCGGAGAAGCGCGAGGGAAGGCTTCTTCTGTGGCCAACTTTGGGGTGTTCCGTCTAGGATTCCTGGGCCACTCCCAAGGGTTAGTGTGGCCGGGGGTTTTTGACGATTCCACGAAGGGTTCCTGGGCCAGGCCCGAGGATTCCTATATGGACCCCGAAGGATCCCAAGAAGGATCCCTGAGAGGGATGCCTCTGGACTCCGACGGGGAGTCCCTGAGGGTCCTGCAGGGACTCTTGAGGTTGCTCGAGGCAAAGAACTCCTGAAGCTTCCTTGGGGATCCCTCAAGGATCCTTGTGGGATTCCTGAAAGATTCTGAAGACACCTCTGTGGCATTCCTGCGGAGTTCTGAAGAAGCCCTGGGGGGGCCCTAGGGGATCCGTCAGGGATTGTGACAAACAATTCCTTTGGCCTTTCCCTGGGATTCCGGGATGGTTCCCGAGGGCCCACAAAAACAATGGAGAATTCCTGAGGCATTCCCGGGGTGCGGGATCTTGGGCGGCCCCTCGTCGGTGCCCGAGCGCAACTCCCGCGCGGCGACCCCAGACCGCTCGAGCTGTTGGATGATGCCGCGCACCTTCTACGAGGCATTCGATCTCCGCTTTTTCCACGCTAAGCACCGAAGATCTACATCTCCAACCTCAAGCACTGCATATCACGACAGCAAGGCTGCGCCGCAAAGAGAGAGATGGAGGGTCGACTGACGGTGGTCGAACCGCTTGCGCCCGCATGCAGTATTCTCCAGGTGAGCCGTGAAGCACAAAAACCCAAGGCATCCGATGACCTCTGTGGTCCTCCCTCACACGGACATGGCGCACCGCCCAATGATGTATTCGATGGCGTTCATGACGAGGGCTGTTCTGGTGATGGTAGTTCGCAGTGGCGACAATGATGGGGACTACAGTGGTGATGACGGCAACGGTGTAGATAATACTAGTAATGGTGATGGTGAGGATGTAATTGACGATGGTGACAAGGGTGAAGGTGATAAGGGTAATGATGGCGTTAGCTGTAGCTCTGCTGCGAAAGAGCGTGGGGAACGATTGCGTTGGTTGCACTGCCTGCGTTGCATGGACGTCGACGATCTGTAATGCTCTGCACTGCGCTTCATTGGTAGATTTGGTGATGCGGCTCTGCTGCTCTGCTTTGCGTACGCTGCCGCGGTCCAACGTCTGCGGCCTACGCACAGACCGCTCACACGTTACCACGGACGATGTACATCCACACGTGGTGGCGGACACAGAGCGAGGCCAACACGGCAACGCACAACACATCCGCACCGCCGACTGGAAGCGACCCCCGCGGAGCGCACTTGTTCGCGGCGCTGGGATGCCCGGCATCAACCAAGTGGCGACGTCCGAACCCCTACCACCACCGACCATCGAGTCTCCTGAATCGATGGGGGGTGGGGGTTATGTTGCTCCCCTCCTACTTAAAGACCACACCCCAGAAATAACTTCGAGCGCCCGGAAAAGTGTCGAAGCAGTGTCGAAACATTGTCGGACGAGTGCCTCCCAGGGCCCGACACGTGAAAACCATTGAGCGTCGGTACTTTTGGGGGGGCTCGAAATTCTTTCTCGTGGTCAAAGCTAATGTAGGTTGGAACATCAGAAGGCGGGGGTAGGGCTCAGGTTTCGCCACGTGCCCGACGAATTCCGAACCCTTCCCCCGCCGCCCATCGAGTTGCCGGAATCGTGGATCGGCGAGGGTGGGGTGCGGATCCCGCCGCCAGGTCAAGTACTCCGTCGACCACCAGACCAGTACCGCCCGGAAGCGTGCCATCAGAGCTCCAGCGGGGGGGTGGCAGACTCGTGCCCCGGGGGCAGAGCTTCACCAGGCACGCACCGTGATGGCTTGGATGGCCAACGCTTACCATTCAAGTGGGCTCTGTCGTTGTCTCGGCGACTTTGGGCAAGACGCGGTCGGCGAGGGAGGGCAAACACTCAACCAATAAACCAGGTGAGAAACAATTCACTCAAACTGGTCCCTTTAAATCCACCATGGCTGAATAAGAAAGCACGAGCGCATGGGGTGGAGGGAAAGAGGAGTGGTGGCAACATTGCACATCGCCCGCCGAGTCAAAGGCAATTCTGGGTGAGTTGACTCGTCCCCCTCCCTCCTCGCAGACACTCCGCCCGCAGCTCAGACCCTTGCGCTGCTCACCAGAAACCGCGGGACCGTATGGTTTGGATGTCTTGCTTGGCGTGTCGCGGCGGCGGCCCCGCAGATCCGGCGGCGCGACACGCTGAGCACACTCTTCTGACCGTGCTTGTCGTGGCCAACGGCCGCTGCCGCGACAGTGCCAAGGACGGAGGTCCAATGTGATTAGTGGAGGCCTGGACATTGGCACCAACACCAACCAACACAGGGGGGTGCCTCCGCAGGGGGAAGACGATCCTAGACTTCGGTGTTGGTGGTAATGTGTCGGCCACCTCGGAAGCCAGAATGTCACCACCATCGCCGAGATCGGGATCTTCTTCCCTCGGTGGAGGCACACCGCCGATATTGGTGTTGGTGTCAACCTCTAGGCCTGCGACAATGGCCGCTGCAGCGACAATGCCAAGACTGCAGGTCAAAGGCGACTCGGGGGTGGGCGGACCGTTCTGAGACGTGTGTCGACCTCCCGCGGTGCCCCTCGAGCGCCCGAGGCCCCCGCAGCCCCAACGCCATCCGTCGACGGACACCGTCTGGCGAAGCCTTCGGAGCCTCCGAGGTCCTCGAACGGTCCGTCGCCGCACGGCGTCGGCACCCCAAGAGTGGACAAGCGCGTTTCACTACACGCAAATCAACTGCTCGCAAATGGCCTGGATCTGCCGCGGGGGATTGCCTATACATAAATATATATATATATATATATATATATATATATATATAAATAGATATACTAGATAGAGAAAGACCTGCTTTTTGTTCGGACGTTTGCGAGTAGGCGCTTCGCGAGCAGTGGAACGCGCTCGGCGAACGAGAGATTGAGGGCACGGCGGCAGCGGCGGCAGCGGGGAGCGAGGCCGGGGGCGAGCACCTCCGTGAGCAGCGGGTTCGGCGGCTGCCCTCGCAGGTTGTCCAGGGGCAGGAACGTCATGGGGTCGAGGAACCGCTCCTGCAGCGCCGCACGGCGTAGGCCAAAACGTTGCGCGAGAGCGTGCGTGGGCGGCGGCCTCCCCTGACACCGCGCGCACCGCACGGCCGGTGCCGGGACGCCCCAGACATCCGGCCTCGCGAATCCTTCACAGCGGCGGCTACACGCAAGAGTGACCCCAGGCAAGAGTGACCTGTAGTGCGCGGACCATGGGGGCGCAAGGTGGTCAACTCCCCAAAGCCAAGCGCGCAAGCGGCAGAAAGTCGCATCGCGCTCAGCGATCGGAGGGGCCCCGGGGAGCCCGCACCGAAGGTCACTCCGGCGAAGGGTCACTCTTACGTGTAATCTCGCCAACGTGGCTCCCTGGAGCCACCCCTTCCGGAGGAGGAGGAGGAGGAGGAGGAGGAGGAGGAGCAGGAGCAGGAGGAGGAGGAGGAGGAGGAGGAGGAAGATGAGGACGAGGAGGGGGAGGAGGAGGAGGAGGAGGAGGAGGAGGAGGAGGAGGAGGAGGAGGAGGAGGAGGAGGAGGAGGGAGGAGGAGGCTCTTCGTCCTGAGCCGCTTCCTGACAGCCCAGAGGCCCGGCGAGGGCACCTGGGAGGCAAAGCGTGGCCAAGAAGCGCCCGTCGCGATGCCTTCGCGCGGCCAGGCCTGTGGCCGCGTGCGCTCGCTGCGCGCGCAGCGCGCGCGGGCTGTCGCCTCCGCATCGGCCTCGGCGCGGGCCTGCCGCGCGCCCGGCCCGGCCGCCACCCACCCCTCAGCGAGGTCGGCATCTCGCCCCCTTCGGCGGCAACTCGGGGGAGCCTCTCCCATGCCATCCGGTTGGCTCCTGCGACGAATCGACGCTGATCGACGCTGAGTTTGAATCGGGCGCGTCCCCCTAGAGGAAGATTTTGGACGAAGAATACCAAAACATACGTAAAAATAGTCAAAAAATCGTCCCCTGACTATCTTTTACTATTTTTGGACATTCCTCCTGTAGAGGGACAGGCTCGACTTAACGCTAAGTCGACGCAAATCGACGCTAATTCGGCGCTATCCCATCGATTACCCGGCGCTCATCTAATCTAACGCACTCTACAGACGGAACTGCGAGACTACACAAGGCTCCCATACTTTACTACCGAAGACCCCCCCGGCGACTCCGAGGGATGTGGTTTGCGCAAAGGGTGTGGCTTGCAAGCGGCACCCTGGGGGGCACCCCGGGGGGCGGGCGAAGACCTCGACAGAGCTCTGCGCCGCGCCCCGAGAAGGCCCGACGGGGACAGCGTCGTGCTTCCCAGGCCCGAACGGTGCCGATCGCACACCGCACCCCAGCGCAAGCACACCCTCGGCAGTCGCAGACCCCCCCCCCCGACATCGCGCGGCGGTTGCCCTGGTGCGTGCTGCCTCGCCCCGCCCCCCTTCCATTGCTCCCTCCGCCCTCGCCCTCCTCGTCGTCCTCCTCCTCCTGGGGAGGAGGGCGAACGCCGACGACGAGGACGAGGGGAAGACAGAAGAAGAGGGCGAGGAGGCGCAGGAGGGCGAGGAGGACGAGGAGGACGAGGAGGACGAGGAGGAGGACGACGAGGAACAGAAGGAGGAGGAGGAGGAGGAAGAGGAGGAGGAGAGGGAGGAGGAGGTGGAGCAGGAGGAGGGGGAGCAGCAGGAGGAGGAGGAGGAGGAGGAGGACCGCGCGGACCTCCGAAAGGTCTGGTTCTGCCGATGATTCTTCTTCGATTTCCTGCATTCTCCTCCCCCCCACCCTTCTGTCCATCCTTCAAGCATTGGATGCACCGCTTGGAGGACTCGCGCGTGTCGGTGACGACGGCGTCGATGAACCTCGCTGGCGGGCGACCCTCTGGGTTCCTCGTCCCTGCCCTTCCTCGTTGTCCTCCTCGTCCTCCTCGTCCTCCTTCTCCTCCTCCTCCTCTTCATCCTCCTCCTCCTCCTCGTCCTCCTCTTCACCCCTCTCCTCCTCCTCCTCCTCGTCCTCCTCCTCCTGCTCCTCCCAGACATGTTTTTCCTCATTGTCTTCCTCCGCCTCCTCATCATCATCCTCCTGCGCCTCCTCCGCCTCCTCCTCCTGCTCCTCCTACTTCTGCTCCTCCTACTCCTTCTCCTCCTCCTACTCCTCCTCCTTCTCCTTGACATCATCTTCCTTTTCGTCTTCTTCATTCTCCTCCTCCTACTCTTCCTCCTCCTCCATTCCGTTTCCTTTTAAAATTCTCCCTGTCGCACCCCGAGGCCTGTGTTCAGGGCGAGCCGGGCTTCTTTTGAGACTTCCTCACCATTTATGATTCTGAAGCTTAGAAAGTGGCAAAAGTTTGACAGATGGAGGGCGGATGGTTTTCAAAATGTGGCTCTCGCCTTTGCGCCGCGCACATTCGTTTTATTAAACATTTGCAAGAGTTTCACGGATTACGATCGGGTGGTTTTCAAAATGTGGCTCTCGCCTTTACGCGGCACACATTCGTTTTCAAACCGGTGCAAGAGTTTCACGGATTGAGGGCGCGTGGTTCTCAAAAAGTGGCTCTCGCCTTATTGCCGCGCACATTCGCTTTGAACATTTGCAAGACCTTCACGGATTGAGGGCGGTTGCTTTTAAAAATGTGGCTGTCGCCATAGCGTTGCGCACATTCGTTGAGTTTCACGGATTAAGGGCGGCTCATTTTCAAAATGTGGCTTTCGCCTCAACGCCGCGCCCATTCGTTCATAAAACTTGGAAAAGTTTCATAGATGCCCATGATCAGCGTACCACACATGGCAGTTTGGAAGGATTCACGACCATGCGGGTGCAACAGTTATGTTGGCTCGCGGGGTTGAAGCCCCAAAAGCGGCGTTCTGGCACGATTCCAGATCGTGAAGACGCAGCAGTCAGGTTGATCCGCGGCGTTGAAATCCCGAGAACAATGTGTTGGCATGCTTCAGGGTCTTCAAGGGTGTCTTCCAATGAGGCAGTTCCCTCAATGGAAATGAACCGTTGCAGGGGCCTATGAAGAGGGAGCTCGGAAGGAGGGCGAATTCCAACATCGTTGATGACTCTTTGGTTTACAATGGTCATCCTCCTCCGAGTCCTCCGCCTGCACCTCCTCCTGCTCTTCCTCCTCCGCCTCCTCCTCATCATGCTCATACGATCATCAGTACAATCATCATCATCATCATCATCATCATCATCATCATCATCATCATCATCATCGTAAGCATCAGCATCAGCATCAGCATCATCACCACCACCACCATCATTTCATCATTTCATCATCAGCATCATCAGTATCATCATCATTCTCATCCTCAGCATAATCCTCATGATCGTCGACATCATCATCGTCATCATCATCAGCAGCATCATCAGCAGCACCATCATCGTCATCATCATGCTCATCATCAGCATCATCATCATAATCAGCAGCAGCAGCAGTATCATCATCATCATCAGCATCATTGCCAGAATCAGCATCATCATAATAACCAGCATCATCAGCACCATCGTCAGCATCATCATCAGCATCATCATCTGAATCAGCCTCATCGCCATCATCATCACAATCACCATCATCGTCAGCATCATCAAGCTCATCCTAATCATCATCAGCATCATCTTCATCACTGCCATAATCATCTCCATCACCATTACCACCACCATCATCATCACCACCACCGCATCCTAGTCATCATAATCATCATCATCATCAGCATCGTCATCATCATCGTCATCATCGTCATCATCGTCATCATCATACCCATCATCAGTACCACCATCATCATCAGCAGCAACAGAAGCATCACCATCATCATCATCATCAGCATCATCATCATCATCGTCATCATCATCATCATAATCATCACCATCATAATAATCATCACCATCATTATCACCATCATCGGCAGCATCATCATCGTCAGCATCGTAATCATCAGAATCATCATCACCACCACCGCCATCATCATCAGCAGCATCTGCATCAGCATCATCATCTGCATCAGCATCAGCATCAGCATCATCAGCATCATCGTCGTCATCATCAGGTTCTTATTAGCAATGTTTCCAGTGTGAATATGTTTCTTATTATTTGTGTTCAGCTTCCTTAGTCCCTTTCTCTTCCTCTTACTCTTTCTCTCTCTCTCTCTCTCTCTTTTTCGTCATCTTCCTCTCCCTCTTCCTCTTCCTTGTCCTATCCTCTCCTCCTGATTTCCCCTCCTACTCCTCGTCCTTGTCCAACTCGTCCTCCTCCTCCTCCTCCGCCTCCTCCTCCTCCTCTTGCTCCTCCTCCTCATCCTCCTCCTCCTCTTCATCCTCCTTCTCCTCGTGCTCCTTCTCCTCGTCCTCTTCTTCCTCCTCGTCCTCCTCCTCCTCCTCCTCGCTGTCCCTCCTCCTCCTCCTCCTCCTCCTCCTACTCCTTCTCCTCCTCTTTCCTCCGATACATGAAGTCCACGCGGATCTTCGACAACTTGTGCTTATGCCGCTGCTTCCTCTTCAAGAGGAGGCAGCAGGGCCGCCGGGTGGACGAAGGCAACCAGAGCCTCGAGCCTATCCCATCCCCAAGATTGACACGCCCAAGGCGAGCACGATATCGGGGATGCGCCCTCAGAAGCTGGCACCACCCGAGCCTCCGAGGGCACGGATACAGAGCTAAGACGAGGCCAGGACGAGGACAACATCAGGTGAAGAGAAACTCAGCATCTCTGAGACCTGGCGCCTCCCGAGGACGTCTCGGGCGCCGCGGTCTCCTCAGAGCGATCCGGAAAGCTCTGAGAGCGTGCTGGAACGCTCCGGAACGGATCTATCCTCGTCCCAGCCCCGTCCGAAGAGCGCGAGGTCGCAGACGAAGAGCGCCGTGCGCCCGCACGCTCGCGCCGGGCTTGCCCCCTCCCCGCCTGCACTCCGCGCGCACCGCGCTCCGCTCCGACCACACGCGCGAGCAGGGATGAGGCAAGACAATCTGGCACCCCTCACTCTGAGGCAGCGGCTCGTCAACCCACATCCTCTTTGCCCTACTCCTCCTCCTCCGCCTCCCCCGCCTTCATCTCTCCCTCCAAACCTTCCTCATTCCTTCGTTCATCATCATCATCATCATCATCATCATCATCATCATCATCATCATCATCATCATCATCGTCATCATCATCATCATCATCATCATCATCATCATCATCATCATCATCATAATCATCATCACCACCACCACCATCATCATCAACTTCAGCATCGTCATCATCATCATCATCATCATCATCATCACAACCACCACCTCCATCATCATCATCATCATCACCACCACCACCATCATCATCAACTTCAGCATCATCATCATCATCATCATCATCATCATCATCATCATCATCATCATCATCGCCCGGTCTCTCTTCATCCCACTGGCTCGCCCCGCTGGCGGGCGGTAACAATGGCGGGTGTCGGCTGTGAACCCCCCAAGCGCCACATTAATCGCCACGTTGAACTGCTCGCCGACAGGCTTGCACCTTGGCGAGGCTCCCGGTCAAAGCAGACGGCGAGAGCATCTTGCCCTAGGGAGTGGAGAGCTGGGCCGCGCACCACGGACATCCAATTTCGACTCCGCCTCCACCCCTTCACCATCCTCCCCTTGTCCCAAACTGCAGTGTCCCCCCTCCTCGCCATACCTCCTCCTCCCCCTCCTTTCCACCATCCTTCCATCGGCATCACCGTCGCCATCACCATCGTCGTCAGCACCGTCAGGATATTATCATCCTGTCATCCAGCGTGGGCCCCGATCGGTAGGGTACTGCACCGCAGACGTCAGCAACGTCGCGCAAGATGTGCAGTGCAAGCCACGTGGCGTAAGCCGTGTGGTGCAAGCTGTGTGGTGTTATATCTACGTGGTGCAAGCTGTGTGGTGCAAGCTGTGCGGTGTGAGCTATGTGGTGGCGCGGCAGCGAGGCGGCAACGAGGCGTCAACGTGGCGAGTCCTCGGCGGGCCACCAAAGCGGCACCACAGCGGCAACGAGGCGGCAACGAGGCGTCAACGTGGCGAATCCTCGGCGGATCGCCAAAGCGGCACCGAGGCGGCAACAAGGCGGCAACGTGGCGAATCCTCCGCGGACCCTCCAAGCGGCAACGAGGCGGCAACGGGCGCCGACGAGGCGGCCACGAGGCGGCAGCGTGGCGAATCCTCGGCGGACTCCCAGAAGGCAACGAGGCGGCGACGTGGCGAACCCTCAGCGGACCCCCAAAGCGGCAACGAGGCGGCAACGGGCGGCAACGCGGCGAATCCTCGGCTGACCCTCCAAGCGGCAGCGAGACGGCACCGAGCAGCAACGAGAGGCAACGTGGCGAACCCTCGGCAGAGACTGAAGCGACAACGAGGCGGCAACGGGCGGCAACGCGGCAAATCCTCGGAGGAACCCCCCAAGCGGCAACGAAGCGGCCACGGGCAGCAACGCGGCGAAATATGGGCGGACCACCGAAGAGGAAACAAGGCGGGGGGCGGCAGCGTGGCGAATCCCCGGCGGACCCATCCGATTCCTTAGTGACAAAAGAACTCCTTGAGCGCAAGCACTGATTGGGGAATCCGTGGGCGGCAACGAGGCGTTCACGCGGCGGCAACGAGGCGGCCACGAGGCGGCCGCGGGCGGCGACGCGGCGAAACCTCGGCGGACGCAACCAGGAAGTCGGCGGCAACGAGGCGGCCACGGGTGCCTTCGCAGCGAAACCTCGGAGGGCCCCACCAAGAAGCGGGCGGCAACGAGGCGTCCACGAAACCGCCACGGGCAGCGGTGCAGCGAAACCTCGCCGCCCCAACAAAGACGTGGGCGTCAACGAGGCGGCAACGAGGCGGCCACGGGCGGCGACACGGCAAAACTTCGGCGGACTGCCCAAGTGGGCGGCAACGACGCAGCCACGAGGCGGCCACGGGCTGCGACGCGACAAAACCTCGGTGTACTCATCCAGTCCCCAGCGTTAGAAATGAGAACCCCATAAGTGCAGGCACTTTTGGGGGAAAAGCCTCCCACACCCAACCAACCAAGTCCAATTCCTCATCACTCGTGCTCCTCACGGCAACAAGGCGGCAACGTGGCGAATCCTCTAGAGACCCACATACGCCGCAGGAGGCGGCAACGAGCCGTTAACGAGGCGGCAATGTGACAAAACCTCGCCGGGCCCACCCAACGCACGAGGCGGTAAAGAGGAGTCAACGATCGGCAACGTCGCGAAACCTCGCCGGACTCACCCAGATCAGAGACGGCCGCAGGCGGCACAGTCGCGAAACCTCGCCAGACCCACGCAGCGCACGAGGCGGCCACGAGGCGGCCATCGGCGACAACTTTGCAAAACCTCGCCGACCCAACCAGCGCACGAGACGGCCAAAATGGCGGCCACGGACGGCAACGTGGCGAATTCTCTGCGGACCCACCCAGTCGGACACCCAGTTCACGAAGCGGCCACGACGCGGCCACGGGCAAACACGTCGCGAAACCTCGCCGGACTCACCTAGCGCACGAGGCGGCCACGGGCGGCAATGTGACGAAACCTCGCAGGACCCACCTAGCGCACGAAGCGGCGACAAGGCGGCCATGGGCGGCAACGTGGTGGAACCTCGCCAAGATCCACCCAGCGCGCGAGGCAGCCACGAGGCGGCCACGGGCGAAAAGGTGGCGCAACCTCGACAAAGCCCCGAGACATTTTTGGTCATGGTCCCCTCCTCCTCCTCCTCCTCCTCCTCCTCCTCCTCCTCCTCCTCCTCCTCCTCCCCAATGGTCCCCGTGGTCTTCCCTCGATTGACCCCAGGCGTCCACCGAGACTGCGCTGAAAGCGCGTCGCCGAAAGCCGGAAGCCGACGCTGCAGGCCGACGGCAGCACCGGCAGTGGCCGCCGAGGCGCGCCTCCCGAGCGCCCCCCGCGCTGGCGCGCGCCGTGCCGCCAGGAGGGAGGAGGGAAGGAGGAGGGAGGAGGGAGGAGGAAGGGGGGAGCAGGGGGGAGGAGGAAGGGTGAGGAGGGAGAAGGGGGGAGGAGGGGGGGGGGGGGGAGGAGGGAGGGGGGAGAGGGAGGGAGGGAGGAGGGAGGAGGGGGGGGAGGGGGGGGGAGGAGGGGGGAGGAGGGAGGGAGGGAGGAGCAGGAGGAGGAAGAAAAGGATTGGGAACACTGCCACAAGAGAGGACAGAGAAGGTCAGATGGAGAGAAAAACGGGGTGCGGCTATCGCTGGCCCACTGCGGGATGGCGCCCCCCACAGTGGTGCAACAAGGTCCCCTCCGCGGAGGGAGGAGGGAGGAGGGAGGACGAGGAGGAGGAGGAGCTATCGAGGACATCGGGGCTCGCACCGCTCGACACTGTCCGCCGCTCGAAGCTCGAAGGGGGAGGAAGGAAGGAGGAGGGAGGAGGATGAGGAGGAAGAGCAGGAGGAGGAGGAGGAGCAGGAGGAGGAGGAGGAGGAGGAGCACGGCGACGACGCCGACGGCCGCGGCCTCCCCCAGAGGCCCGCGCAGCTCCAGGATCCGGCCGCGCACGCCGGGCACGAGCTGGGCCAGCTCAGCCGAGACGCGCTGGAGCCGCTGCTCCTGCCGCCACCGCCGCGATGCTGATGATCACGATTATGATGATGATGACGACGATGACGATGATGATGACGACGGTGATGATCAGGATGATGATGATGATGATGGTGATGATGCTGATGATGATGGTAACGATGACGATGATGACAATGATGACGATGATGATGATCAGGATGGCGATGACGATCGCGATGGTGATGATGGTGATAATGATGGTGGTGATGATGCCCATGGTGATAACGACGATACTAACGATAATGATGATGAGGATGGTCATGATGATGATGATGATGATGAAGACGATAACGATGATGGTGATGATGATGATGAGGATGGTAATGACGGTGATGATGATGATACTGGTGATGACTATGATGACGGCGATGGTGACCATGAAGATGGCGATGATGATGATGATACTGATTATGTTGATTATGAAGGTGATGATGATGGTGACGATGCTGGTGATGATGACGATGATAAGGATGATGATGATGATGATGATGATGATGATAACGGTCATGGGTATGATGACGGTGATGATGATGATGATGATCACGATTGATGACGACGATGACGATGACGATGATGATGACGACGACGACAACGATGACGGTATGCTGATACTGATGCTAACGCTGATGCTGATGCAGATGCAGATGCACATGCTGATGATGATGCTGGCGAAGACGATGATGACGATGGCAACGATGACAATGATGATGATTATGGTAATAAGAATTGTGATGATGATGGTGATGATGGCGATGCTGATGATGCTGATGATGATGGTTATGATGCTGATACTGCTGACGATGATGCTGATGCTGTTGATGATGATGCTGACGCTAATGCTGATGCAAATGATGCTGATGATGACGATGATGAGAATGACGATGAAGATGGTTGCGGAGGTAATGATGATGACGACAATGACGACGACGATGATGATGATGATGATCATGATGCTCATTATGACGACGATGATGATGATGATGACGGTGATGATGATGATGATGATGATGATCAGGACGAAGATGACGATGACGATGATCATGACGATGACGATGATGACGACGACGACGATGGCGGGATGCTGGTGATGATGCTGAAGCTGATGCTGATGCCGATGACGATGACGATCATGTTGATGATGGTGATGATGATGACGATAGTGATGATGATGATGCTGATAAGAACTGTGATGATGATGATGATGGTGATGATGCTACTGATGATGATGCTGATGCTGATCCTGGTGCTGATGATGATGCTGGTGATGATGCTGACGATGATGATGATGATGATCATCATCATCATCATCATCATCATTATGTTGATGGTGACGATGATGCTGATGCTGATGACGATACCGATGGTGATGATGATGATGATGATGACGATGATAATGCTGATGTTGATGACGATGTTGATGATGATGAAGGAGTGTGATGATGATTATGATGCTGATGCTGTTGATGATGATGCGTCTGCTGATGCTGATGATGGTGATGAAGCTAATGACGATGTTGGTGCTGATGATCATGGTGATGCTGAGGATGATATATGTTGTGATGATGATGATGATGACGACGACGATGACGACGACGACGATGATGATGATGGTGGTAGTTGTGGTGAGGATGATGATGACTGATGACGACGACGACGACGATGATGATGATGATGAAAATGATGGGCAGGCCGCAGGCGCGGCCAGGAGCCGCCCCCTCCGATGGCTCTTGGAGGCGGCGGCGTCGCCCAGGCACGGCGGCGCGCGGCAACGACGACGAAGACGACGCCGATGACGACGACGACCACGACCACGACGACGACAACGACCACGACGACGACCACAACGACGACCACGACGACGACGAGAACGACGACGACGACGACGACGACAACGACGACGGCGACGGCGACGGCGACAACGACGACGAGCGGCGCGGCATCCGCCGGCACGCTCCGCACCGCGAGCTCGATCCGCGCGCCCGACGGGGCCTGCCCGGCATCCTCGCGCAGCATCGCTAGGGCCAGCACCCCGAGGCGCCAAAGGTTCGCTGCAGCGTGAAACCTTTTGAAGCCCTGTGGGTGACGACAGCCGAACCCTGCAGTCAACACTGGTAGTGAGGATGCTAGAGGGCAAACATCCACCCCCATGATAACCACCCCGGCACGCGAAGTCGTTTAGTAAACATGCCCAAAGAAGCAATCGAACGAGGCAGGGCCGTTTAGTAAACGCCAACTGTCCGGTCCGGGTGGTTTTTTCCTCCCTTGACGATAGGGATGCAAGCACCTTGGACGCCCATGTCGAAGCTTTTCGAGCGGGGTTGGCCATCGAGAGTGGTTAAGGACGGATGGAGAAAGCAAGGATGCAAGGGAGCCCTTGGGAAGGTTGCCCATCCTTATCTTAGGTCGGACTGTAGGTGGCGACATCCGAGCCCTACCCCTACCAACCATCGATTATCCTGAACCGATGGGAGGCGGGGGTAGGGTTCGGATTTCGCCACGTGTTCGACGAGTTCCAAACCCTACCCCTGCCGCCCATCGAGTTGCCAGAATATTTGATCGGCGAGGGTGGCGTTCGGATCTCGCCGCCGAACTGGAAAAAACAAGAAGAAACAGCCACAAACATCAATAACACATACTCGAGTAATAGCACCGATAAACAGCCATAACAACAACAACAACAACAACAACACTCCGTTCTCACCAGTGCCAGGGTTTTCACAGGAGGCGGGCAATACCCCCACTTTGTGGGGGGGCCGGTTCAAGCTCTACCAAGTTTCCAAACGACTCTTCGCCACCACCCACACCCAGCTTCCCGCCCTATGACGTTCGGACACTTCACTTCGTGGCCTGCGGACGACCTTGGCTACTACACTGGCGCATGGGTACAATGACTTGTTGTGGTAACATTTTGTGGAAGCTAGCTTAGTATACGACTTTCCCCCCTGCAATTGAAGATTTCGGCGTGCGCGCGCGAAGAAAAAACGAATGTGTCCCATATGGTATTATTTGACAGGGATGATGGCCCTGGCAGGCGCGCAACCTTTGTTGCAGAAGTTCGAAGCACGTGAAAAAGTTGCTCGCGAGAGCCCGTTTGACAGAAATGTTGAGAAAGTAGTGGGTTTCCTAAGAAATCCGCAAGAGCGCGCGGGGTGAATTTTTGAAACCCTTTTTTTTTTTTTTTTTATAAAAAAAAAAAAAAAAAAAAAAAAAAAAAAAAAAAAAAAAAAAAAAAAAAAAAAAAAAAAAAAAAAAAAAAAAAAAAAAAAAAACGTTGGGTTTTTCATGTTTTTATGTGAAAATCGTTACGAAGACTAAGGTTTTGGAAGGATTTCGTCTTGCGCGCGCGAATGCGCACTTCGTGTCATTTTTTGCGAGGGATTCTTGAAGTTTGGTCATGTTAGAACAAGAAATGCCCACTTCGCCTTATTTTTTGCAAGGGAAAACCGATCGTAACAACACAACCGGATCCGGACACCCACGCTTTGCCTGAGACTTCCTCACGAAAATGATGAAAATGCGGCTGCGGCCTAGGCGCGGCGGGGGGGGCGCGCACCAGGGGCCCCAACAATAATTATTCTTTAGAATTAATAATGTTCAACGTCGCGGCGCCCGCCCCGGCCCCGGGCCGGGGCCGGGGCGGGCGTCAGCACGCCGCGGCGTGCGCCCTCTCACCCGGCCCCGGGTAAAAGCGTTCGCGCTCTCGGTGTGCCGACGACTCTCCCGGCCCCGGGCATCTCCCACTGGCGCAGGCATTCGCGCGCCTGGTGCGCAGACGACTCTCCCGGCCCCGGCAGGTCCGAAATCGTTGAAACCTTGGCATTCCCAAGGACTCCTCAGGGATTCCGAAGTATCCCTGTGTATACTATATATGTGTACGTGTATGTACGCAAATACATACATGTTTACATGCATACACATGTGTATGTATGTGCGTATGCATGTATATGATTGTATGTACATATATACGTAAGCCTAACCATGTGTAAGTGTGTATACATGTATGTGAACACATATATGGCATGTATAGATGTAAACGGTGGCGAAGGCGAGGCGGGGCATTTTTTCTCGGCACGGGCGCGGTGGCGAAGGCGAGGCGGGGCCTGCGCCGACGCGGCACTCAGCTACCGAAAACATCCAAGCCGCCTTCAGCGAAAAATGGGCGGGCGTACAATCGTGGACACCTCTATTTGAACAGTGATAACAATGAAACAACTTTTTTTTTGCACAAAAAAAACGTGCAAATTGACCCCTGGGAAGCTTTGGCAACTACAACACGAATGACAAAGCCTAGCTACTGACTGGCATTCACCATTATATATATATATATGTATTTTTTTTTTTTTTTTTAAAAAAAAAAAAAAAAAAAAAAAAAAAAAAAAAAAAAAAAAAAAAAAAAAAAAAAAACTCGAGCGTCAAACCAAGGGTTCCAAGAGGCATCCACGATTATGCACCTGAAGATGGGGCAGGAGGCGGACCAGGAGCACGCGATCTCAGACCGTACGCACAGCGAATGTGCTGGTGCTCGACGAGACGAGCTGCTGCACCTGCTCTGGCGTGCGCGGCACGGGGGGCCCCGCAGGAATCGACCCACCACAGGGAGCCCGCGTGCCGCGCCACGCATGTCCAATGCGCATCGTGGTGGTTCACCACGAGCCCGACGACGGCAGGCGAGCCGAGCAACGCCCCAACGGCATCTGGCGAGACGGGGTCTCGATCATCTGGAAAGCAGGCGGCGTGGTGCGGTCCAGCGCCATGGCCAGCACCCGTGGGAGTACCACCCGTCGCCTCGCTTGCGCCTCCGCACATCGTCGCCTGACTCCGCAATGACGAAGCCGCAGGCGTTGCTCATCATTTCCGCTGTGTACATGGGCGACCCGAACAGATTGTTCAGCGCGTGCTGGCCGCACGCGCTCCTCAGGGGCTCCTGCTTCTCGAAGTACCTGTCGCCCCAGAGGGTCTCGGCGTCGCCCGCTGGCGCCTCGCCGGTT